CCCCCCACCCAAAAAAACTCCATTTAATATACAATTTTGTTTGGCTACTGCTAAACAATAATTTATTGTAAACTGGTCAACTAATTTATATAAATTTTTACAAATAAACATAATTTTTCCATCTGAAATGAAATATATCATTTGCTAAGAATATATGCTTTGAAGGGCTTACAAAACCCAACTGAGGCCCACCTCAGAGTGAAGCGAGCAAAAAAAGCATTAACATGCTGGCTGTGAGGCATTTTTTGGAGGCATATGACTTAATTGTTTGAGGCACACGCCTCACAACACTGCCTCAAGGTTTGTGAAGCACGCACTCTTTTCTCAAGGCATATTTACTTTGCTTTAGGTGTGTCCACAAAATATAAAATTCTAATTGTGTCATTTTGATAATAGCATGTTGCCCACTAATAGACTCACTTTCGGAATAGTCTACATGCCCCATCAGCTAATATAATAGCTTTGTTTTTATTTTACAGATTTTTCTTTTGTTCGTTTGCACACTTTAAATTGTACTATTATGAATTATAAAAGTTATTTATGATTTATTATGAGTTTATTTTGCATTTTATTAATTTTTTTGGTTCACAGTGAGACTTATGCCTCAAAACACCTTGAGGCTTGCATGTCGCCTCATGAAAGAAAAATGCATCAATTTCTCGATTACACCTTTATAAATATTGATGTTTTAGCCTGTTAAACAATAATTTTCATTATTCTAAACAGTACAGCTTTCCTTCCATTAGATTAATTATTATTTACCCATGATTATTATTAGCTTCAAATGGTTATGGTTCCCAAAGAGAATCATTATTCGACCATGTGGGCAAATTATTATGTAAATAGAAACACCTCACCCTTTTGCAAACATCTCAGTGACTTACGCAAACATCACAGCTCTGCGAAGATAACCATTTTGTAGTGGCTATAAGATAGCCACTGATAGAGGATGTTAGGTTGCTTAGTATATACATCATTGCAACTATCATTCCCCGTATATTTGGTATCCAGCAGAGGATATGACAGGAAGGCATATGAGACATTCATTCACAAGCCATCTTACCCATAAAGCAAACACAGTCACTAGGTGGTCCATCTGACAAAAGGATGATGCCTTGCTATATGAAGTTATGAACTCTCTAATTAAAATAGGAGTTAAGGACTGATCTAGAACAAACTGAGCTCGAGCAACATCAGCAACCAAAAAAGAGAGATTTAGCCCTTGTTTGACCCCATTTTTAAGGAAAATGTGCTTTGGAATGGTGATTTTTTGGAGAATGTGTGCTTAAAAAATTAAAAATAAAATTGGGTTTATGCGTAAAATTATTTTATGGGAGAATGTACGGTTTGAAAATGAGTTTTGGAAAAATGAAGACCAAACAGGGCCTTAGAGAACCTGCCAACTAGTTGATATTTCTTTTCAATAAATTGGCATCAAACAAATCATATTTTTAACATAAAGATCACCTTCAAAAGTTCTCACATATTTATGACAATATTTTTTTTTTGAAAGGTAATCAAATATTTTTTTAATCAAGCCGTAATACACAGGAAGTATATTAGCAATTCAAATCCGAAAAAAAGGACATAAAATTGGGCAACCCATCTATATGACAATATCCCTCTGCCATTAACACGAGAACTTTCATAGGACAACAATATATATTAATAGCTTAACACTAACAATCTAACCACAACAGATACAAATTCAATAACCTCCACAGAATGATCATAGAGCTTCTGAAATAGATAAGACTAAGAAAAAGGTGAAATAAGGATACCTGCTGCATCTCGGATGGTCTCTTGGGTAACTCCAAGAAGACAACATTCTCTGCTGATGTTAAGTTTAGTCCAGATCCCCCAGCAAGGATGCCAATCAACGCGATTTTAATCTGATAAAAGTTAAATGGGATTTTAACGCCAAGATTTGTATATCTGGATGTTAATATTTTATACCCATACCTTTTAATCTGATAAAAGTTAAATGGGATTTTAATGCCAAGATTTGTATCTCTGGATATTAATATTTTATACCCATACCTTTTCAGCCTGAAAATCTAATTTCACTTTTCTAGAGTATTCAGGCAAGTGAACATGCTAAAAAACGGAATTAATATTCAAATCTTGCAAAAGCTAAAAATAAGCCATGTTATCATGTTAGGATAAGCGTTTAAGAATCTAATTCTTGGTTTCTTATGGCAAAACGCATGCGCTTACTTACGAAATAAGACAGAAAAAAATCGTATAAGCTTAGCCAAACATGCTGCAATTAACAAAGTGAAAAAAAAAAATGGAATATCAAATTTCTTTGAAGAAGGTGAGAACATGTGCAAACCTCTATTGATGACTGGAAAGACTGAATAGCTGACTGCCTGTCGCTACCAACTATACGGCTATCAATACGAACAAACTGTATTCCTTTCTCACATAGAAATTCCTGTGAAGTTGCCGAATGTGTTAAAGGTGCAATTACCACAAAAATTTAAAGATATTAACAGTAGAGAAATGATATGCCATACAAAAGTCCATTTAAGGTTAACTTTCTTTTTGGTTCTCCCTTTTGAAAACTAGAAAAACATGAGCCAATTGTTTATGCATAACCAAAGTAAACCAGCAGCACTCCATTAGTGCACCTTAGTATGATAATCAGGATGGTTTATCATAAAAAAAAGTAGGGACACGTTATTACTGGTGATGTAGAGCATCTCTCATACTACTAATAGGCAGAACAGGCATCATAATCCACACATTACTTGGGAGAAACACAAAAAGAAAGATATGATCGTGAGAAAGAACCAATACGATTTATAACTGTATGATGACCTCTCAAGAAAAAAACTTGGAGAATTATTTTCCAATAAAAGGTTGATATTATTCAAATTTGGAACGAAATAAGTTTTATACTTTTATTCCAACATTCCATCTTAGCCCACCTCAATAGTTTGTATCACGAGTTTTTCACCTTCTACTTTCAAGTACAACAAGTTCCATGGCATCCTATTGGACATGCTAATGATGTACCGAGGCAAAGTGATCGTTTTAATAATATCTACAATAGAGGGTCTTCCTCAAAACTTGCTTGGTGAGGCTAAGTGATTATTTTATTAATGATATGCTTTGTAAATCCCAATGATAATACAGTAAACCTACAATAGAGGGTCTTCATCAAAATTTGCTTGGTCCCCAAAATTTCCTGCAGCCAACCTTCTCCTAACCCAACCCCTCTCTACCTTTCCTACTATTGGTCCCATCTGCATTTGCTTGATTATATCCTTTGGGAACCAGAAAAAGTATAAGCCAATATTTAGCATTACCTCATCTCCTAGATCTAACTTAGTTTATTTTCTATTTCATGATGTTCCAAAATCAATTCTCCTTCTGAAATGATCCGACTTTCTAATGTTCCAATTCCAGGACCAATCTTTTAGAGACTGATAAGCATTTGATCTTTGTTTAACAATTGTACAAGAAGAAACACCAGTATACATTGTGGCACTGGGTAACATATATTATCTAGTCAACCTAGTGCGCTGTTAGACTTAGCCTTACTGAAGTCACATATATCCAACCATTGAGAGAATAGCAAAGATTGACATCCACGTTATATCATCAATTTTCCAGTATTTGAAGTTCTTTATTAGTGACACCATGGGTATAGTGGTCTTATATATGGCACAAAACTTCGGAAATTACAACTGTACATGAGAAGAAAGCGGAAACAGAAGAATATACATAACAAAAAACAAAGTTGGAAACAATATCTTCATCTCAGATTTCTAAGATAGCTAGGAGCAGACAAAAAGGAGGTTAAGATATCCCTTTATCATCTTCCATCTTTTAGAGGCAAAACTGGAATTAAAAAAACAGCTAACAGATACTTGGAAGCCATATGTTGAAACACGCAACAAAAGCTAAATTTGAAGATAAAACTTATCGGTCCTAGATTCCTCGCTTAAAAATAAGATAAAATGTGTTTCTCACCTGTACTCCATCAAGAACTTTATGATGATGAGCAAATATTATCATTTTATGGGATCTGGGACATAATTCCATGTTTTCCTGCTCATCAAACTCTGCTATGATTGGATGTATAGAGAGCCACTCAAGAAACCCAGGAATTTTAGCTATACCAAGTGCTTGATCAGGGACATGCTTTGAAGATTTGTCCTTACCATCATTCTCTGGAAGGACAGATCATATATTTGAATTAACTACCGGAACATGGAAAAAACTGCAAGCTTAAAGATGGTTGTTAACCTGGGTAACCTGTGAAAATACACTTTGATGATACAATGCAGAAATTTTTAATTAGCTCAAAAAAAATTTAGTATATCTTATGTAGCCAGAGAAAATCAATAATTTCCATGAAATTAAATAATATCATTGTTTGCTAGTTTCAGTATTCCATCAGTCTCAGATCTGATCGAGTTTTAAATTCAGGAGCTAATAAGATCAGTATTGCAGTTTCAAGAATCATTTGCCAACCTTTTGAACACTACAGCTCATGGATAGACAATCTGATGAAGAGTTCAAACTTTAAGAAGACGCCATCATGATGGTACAAAGATGGTAATCAAACCCCAAACCCAGTGTGTTGTACAAGTTCACAACTCACAATTTTCAAAAATAACGAGTCTCTACTTGGTTCAGTGTATTATTTTTCTCTGCAATTATATAAAAACCAACTAAATACTCCAACAACCAAGCAACTCAATGCTGCAACAAATAATAACAAAAATAAGCATTCTACCATCTTAATAGTCAACGATTCGAAGCAGGAAATATTGTATTCTGCTTCCTTTGTATAAATGTCGCAAATAGATTTAAATATTGCTTCTCTATAGATGAGGAGAAGAACTTCTAAGCAATGCAGTTAGTGTACAGGGAAACTTGGGGACTTAATAGAAAGCAATCCAATTGAAAAGATTAGTTGAAGGATGAAACTGAAAAACATTAACAGATTATTAAAGTGCGCTTGGTTTGTCATTTTGAGGCCATTTTCAGTTTTCGAAAACACTTAAAACGTGTTTGGTATGTTATTTTCAAAAATGCGATTTTAAAAACAAGGAAAGTTTTATAACATAAAAATCAAAATAACCTTTTAATGTTTTGAGAAAACACTCAAAAATCTCAAAACAAGGAAAATGAGCTTAAAAATTTTCCAAATTAATAATCAATAAAATCACACAAAACTTACTCAAATACATATATCCTTGAAAACACTCAAAAAACTCAAAACAAGAAAAATGAGCTTAAAAATTTTCCAAATTAAAATAATCAATAAAATCACACAAAACTTACTCAAACACAAATACCCCTCTCTCTATCTCTCTCTTCCCATGCTCCTCCAAAGTCCAAAATGTCATAAAACTATTTCTAAAGTTTTGAAACCAAACATGTTTTTTAATTTTTTTTTGTTTTGAGAAACAGTTTTCGGAATGACAAACCAAACACTTTTTTCTGTACCTTAAAATAATCTCTCAAAACAGAAAACAGAAAATGAATTCAAAGTTGAAAACGGAAAACAGAAACGTAAACCAAACGCGCCCTTAAGTGTCCACGCTATTGAACACAAGCACCGTTATCCAGGCATGAAATAGTTCCAAACACGGAATAATATTCAGTCATAAAGCATCTGGGTACCTAGAACTTCATCAGGATGTTCAGTCGGTCCATTTTCATCATCATTGTGTGAGAAAGCATTGTCATTTCCCATTTCTAAAGTTTCCTTTGCTGAACTAATATCAGATTTCCTTAATACCAGTCTTATAATTTGTCGACGCATGGGTGGCAACTGCAGCAAAACTTGCTCCTTTAATCGTCTAATCTGCAGCATGATATCAAAATAATAGCATAAAACATAACATTAGAGAGGAAAATAAAGAGAAACAGAACGCTGAAAAATATGAAATCTACATTGCAATTCCCACTAAACAATAATTGATTGTCCTGTTAGTCAACAAAAATTATGAAATTAATTTAACAGCCACTTCAGTTAGATATGCATTACTATGTCAGAAGATAACTCAACAACATCAGATACGTTTGTTGCATGGATAGACATTATTAGGATTTTGAAGACCCCCCTGAATAAACATTAAACTACAGTACTGGTAGAGCTAAGTTCTGTAATAAAACAACATTCCTAGAAAATTAAAATCGACTAAAACAACTTCTTCGAGAACTACAGTCCATTATTCACTGTGAAGTTATGCTAGACACTCCAGTAGAACATGGATGTGATTTCATAACTAACCTGACATCACTACAATGATAAAGATTTTTAACCATATTAAAAGGTAGCGCATACATTGAATAGTAGTATAGAACAAGCATAGATGGAAGAGTAATAATAAAAACATACCATAACACTTTGCTTCAATAGAACATTTAACTCCTCTAGACGAATCCCCTTCGAGAAATCCTAGAAAGATGAAATAGTAATGCATTTCAAAAGAAACTATCATTGCCTAATAGAATTCAAGAAAGATTTCAACATCAGAAATTTCCTCAAAATGCCAACATTTGCATCGATCAATCGTAAGAACGTTTTTCTTTTGGGGGCGGGGGGCGCTAATGTTGAGCTTTTTTAAAGCAACAACCAAAAATCAGTAATTGGGTGATCAATCATGAGACAAAAGCCAAATTTTTGAGAAAAATCAGGAGGGGAAAACATAATGCAATCTTCTTTTTAATTGGCAGATTCAATTCAATGAAATCAAAAACTGTGAGCCCCTTCACAAAATACTCTGCAGTGAGAAGCAGCCTACAACTTACCTGGAAGACTTTTCCTTGACAACCCCGGATAAATTTGACAGAACAGTAGGATTTTGCAAATTCATATTTGGTGTTCCCTAGCAAACCCGGCCTAGCGTGAACGAATAAGAACTGTCAGGAAATATAAAAAATAAACCATAACTCAGTATGATAAAAGATAAACTGGTACTTACCACAATATATTTACTTGATGAAAAATGTCATAAGGCCTATTATCTCCTAGGAAAGACACAACTGGGATTAGCATGAAATCATATTTAAACATCAATGCAGAAAATCAGGGAAAAATATGAGGAGATTATATCATATAAGAACTCTGTTCATTAGTAGGTATCCATTCACATATAAGACGATTTCAGCTCAACCTTGACAAAGAGGGAGTCCCTGATAGTAGAATAAGATGCTCGACCTTCATAGCAACATCAAGCACAGCATTTAGCTGCCAAATAATGGAAGAGATTTTAGAATAGGCAACCAATATGATTTTTAAATAAAAGTTTCCCATGAAAAGGTAATAAATATAAGGGAACATTCAAATGCAAAGAATACAATTCGCATATCCCGATAACATGTAAGTATTCTACCAAAATTAAGGTACGAACTCCAAGCAATTACCAATAATAAACAGCCACAACCATATTCTTTGGTGGATATCACTCTATTCACCACATCCAGAATAATTTCAGATCACAAAATGGAATCGCACCCATCATAGTGGCTAACATAATGTCAAGTTTGGACTATAGGAGGCGGAAGAGAAGAATTGTTAAAAGTTTTCTTGAAAGTTTTCCCTCACCTGTGGTTCATCTTCCAGATGAAAATAAGAGAACAAAATAAGAAAATAAATGGTTTCCATCAAAAATAATATAATTATCTGAGATTAAAGGTTAAAACTATTGGCTCAACATTATTCTTGAAATTATCCTTCTCCACTTTTCCAATCAAAGAGGGTTAGAATTTCGCTCACAGTGACAATTTAATTTAATTTTTTACTCAATACTTACCCAAATCCTACATCCATTAAGTTGAGATTTTTTTTTTTTTTTTTTGATAAGTAATAAAATAATTTTATTACTTAAAAGAGAATACACGGGGAGTGTACAATCATTTTAAGCCATTAAGGAACAACATGAAATTAGGCAACCCATCTACAGGATTTCTAGCGACAGCATTAAACCAAGAATACAAGGTAAAGTAAAATGTTTCTCTTATCTGCTCTCTTGTCTTTGTTTGGTCTTCAAAGCAACGATTGTTCCTTTCTCTCCACACGCACCATACAATGCAACCCGGGATAAGGTGCCATGCTAATTTGCTATCCTTATCACGAAATTTTCTCCGCCATGCCCGTATCACGTCCTCAATACGACGAGGCATCACCAAATCCATAGATTGAAAACTAAGTATACTGTTCCAAATCCAACGTACACCATCACAATGAATGAACAAATAATCAATCGTCTCCCCATCCTTCTTGCACATATAACACCACTCGGTTGCGTAAAAGCCTTTACGTCGAAGATTATCCACCGTTAAGACCTGTCCTCTCACAACTGTCCACAATAGGAATGCCACCCGAGGAGGCAATTTACACTATCACACCAACTTTCAGGGGAATAAATTATTCACACATCCCATGAGGGAACCAAAGCACAAGCGAACTGAAAAAATGCCATCCTGTGCTGTCCTCTACCTGATGCAATCCCTCTCTCCAACCCGAATTTGTGCCTCATGTAAAAAGGTCATAAACAGCGAATAATCTTCCAATTCACAATCCTGAAGATCCCTCCAAAAAATAATATTCCAGCTATAGCTCCCATTATAAATGTCTAAGAGATCACTCACCATAGCAGTGGACACTGAGACAATGTGATGCAAGGAAGGGAATCTCTCCTTCAGCGGTTGATCTCCGCACCAACAATCATCCCAAAATTTAATCTTATTAGCATTTCCGACCACAAATTTCGGTTTGTCCAAAAAAGTACTCCATCCCCATCGGATATACCTCCACAAATTCACCCCATAAGAACCACGATCCTCAAATGTACACCATCCCCCCTCCGTCACACCATACTTCGCCCTAATTATTTCTCTCCTAAAGCTTTCCCTCTCCACTCCAAATCGCCACAACCACTAGCCTAATAAGGCCTTATTGAATAACACAAGGCTCCTCACCCCAAGACCCCCCATCATCATCGGCAAACAAACAACTCCCCAATTGACCAAATGGAATCTCCTCACCTCTCCCAACCCTGCCCACAAATTCTTTTTGAAGTCTCTCTAATCTCTTTGCCACTGCAATCGGAATGGGGAACAATGACAAAAAGTAAGTAAGGAGATTGGAGAGAGTAGATTTAATGAGAGTAAGTCTACCTCCCTTAAAGTATGTACACCATCAAAACAGGTTGACAGTTTAATGAGTTAACTCTTTACTCCATCGATCAAAAAAAGGTCTAGTTCACCAATCCGACATACCACTTCAGTCTCAGGGTGACAATATTGTTCAAGAACCAGATTTAGATGGGAACCAAACAAAAATCTGTGGTCGGTTCACACTTTTTACATGTAGATCCAGTTAGATTGAGTTGTGCTACAATTCCATTACGGGGAAGGACAATGAGCACATCTCTAATAACTTGAATACCTATACAAAATTAACTATTCTCATTCATATTTTATACAGTATTCATTACTTAATAAATATATAAACCATAATTCTGAAAAATAGGTTCTCTAGAGGTGCTTCCAATCCCAGTTCTTCAAATCTACGCCCAAATGTTTGATTTCTACTAGTTGCAATACACGCAGGCACATGCATTCAAGTAGAAGGTTGACTATATATATCCAGGTTTTACTGAAGATAATTTTTAAATGACAGATATCTAACAACTTAAGCTTTTAAATCAAATGGTTCATCATGGTATCAAAATAACAAACATCATGGTTCAAGTCAGCCACTACCCATTCAAATAAATGGTCCACGTGTTAGACTTTGATGGGAAAGAGTAAATACCGCCTACACATAAGGGGGCATGGTCAAGAAAATACATGAGATCTTATCCAACAGCTTAAGTTTTTGAATCAAGTGATCCAACATATTCATGTGATGAACTATGTTCGATCACAAAATGAGAAAATTCCAGTACCTCATCTCGTTCTGATGATTTTTTTGTACAACGTAGATTATGCGATTCGTCAACTATTAGGGTAACCCATTCTTGCTCCAAAATGGACATCCGTAAACGACGAAGCATCGAATAAGAGATAACCACGACTCTGGGACATTTCATCAAATGTGCAGGGTTATCTTGATGACAAAAAACTGAAAGGAGAAAAGTGAAGCATCAAAAGTTCGAGCTAAAAATTCATGAAAGCTAAAATGAACTAGCAAGTATATAAATTAGCTTGACTATAAACATATTATGAAGAATAAAAATTACTGATATGTGATGCTTGGCAATATTTATCTATGTGGCGAAGCTAGGGAGCTTAGAGATGTTAAAACTAAAGATGAGTGATTCAAGTCTTGCCCAGATCTCACCCATTGTCCCAGAGCAACCAATGTAAAACTAAAGGTTTCGATAACACACATGCAACAGTTCTTTCTTGTTAATAAACATTGTTGATACTTTCTTGTTATTGGAAAACATACGTGTTTCGGAATATCTGCGTCCCAATTATCATACGTCCATTGACCCCATCCAAGCTGAACTATTAAAAGAAAAAGGAAAGGAACAGAAAAGGACAAAGAATGAAAAGAGGTACAAGAAAGACAAATATCACTAACTGATCCTTCCCTCAAAAATCGAGTCAGGAAATAATGAACTGAGCATTAACAAAAAAAAAAAAATGCTTCAGCAGTTACTACCTTATCAATTATCATATGATATGCAGAAGTATGAAAGCAAAGTTCTATAAAGTGCCGTTCATAACAAAAAAATAAATAAATAAATAAATAATTACTCTAACATAAATAAAAAATAATGATTAACAGACAGCAGTTTCACTAAGCCCACACCACTCCCACTTTTAATTTTTTTAGGAAAAAAGGAGAAGGCAAATGACTTTTAAATATCCATACCAAGATGGATATCAGAAGGCACAATATTTGGATACCAACGTTCCAATTCTTCTGCCCATGAATACCTCAAAATTGCTGGGCAAACAATCAGTATGGAACCTTCGTTCAGGAAACACCCAGCAATTGCAATAGCCTGTGAAACAATTAAGCATTGTATTGAGAAATTGTTGTGAAACATTTGTACACAGTGCAAAGACGAGTCAAATCATGCTGTATGAATTTGATAACCTTTGAAAGAAAGGAGAAAAATAAGGGACAAACAAACACTCACAAACACAGAGAGAGAAACAGTATGTGTATGCTCTACATGCAGGCTAGAATGTATCCTAATATTTACTTTGCATGATAGCAAAATACAGGAGAGAATTAATTACAGAATGTTCTGCTCCTTGGGTATATAGATTCCTTGCATATCGTAGTGAAATTAACAGTTAAGCATGTAGCTCATGTGAGAGGAATTAATTTACCACCAAATCCAGTAGTTATACATGATCACTGGTGATGAAGCTGTCTATTATCCATCTAAGAAGCTTTCAATGTTATGCAGTTAAGAGAAGTAACCTAAAGCTTGGGAAGAAGCCTCAGGAAGATAAAAATGGCATCCAGCCATAGAACGCATTATAGTGGCCCAAAAGAATGTAATATTTAGGATGCATGCACATTTCCTTTCCAGAAACGCTGATAGAAAACATATAAAAATGAGGAATTTCCAGAAACAAGTTGGAAGCAGAATATATATGGTGTAATTTTTCATCCCCAACTTGTACTGGCTACGAGTCAAATACTGGCCAATCCCTAGGGAGGATCTTTACGACGCTCTTTGAGAAAATTCTAAAGAATACTTGCAATTCCTTCTTACAGATCAACTAATTTTTTGGATTCTTCTAAAATTCTTCGAAGGACCCATTGTTCAATGACATGAAGGGCTAGAATCACCCACCATTTGTTACCGGTTTGAACTCTAGAATATCCTCTGTTGAATATAATTTACATAACAAAGAGTGTGCTATTCTAACTACTTTTCTTCAGGATTTCACTATTCTCCAATAAATATTGCTGGTTAATCACATTATGAAATTAATACGTAATTCGAATAAGATTGCGCTTCTCAATTTTTTTATTTATATGATTATGTTATTTCCTACATCTATTTTTATGTTTTCCATGTCCAAACTATTTCTTGCAATTATCCATAGAACCAACCACTGAATTTCTCAGCAATATTGCTACCGCATCCTAACGCTATTGCATCTCTCTGGAATCAAGTCACTATAGAGAGAGAGAAAAAAAAATACTACTTGTTTGATAATGCCCCCACAAGATTTCCTTTTTCTTGATTCTTCACTACTCATCATATGTATTTCTTATTTATAATTGCAAAACATACATAAATGAGAACAATAAGAAATGAAAAACTATGAAACCAACATGACGCTACAAATAATGTTCAGGTTTCTACAGGTGTCAATGCTGCGACAGTTTGATTATTACCTGGAGGGTCTTCCCAAGCCCCATTTCATCTGCAATTAGACACCGACCACCCCTTCGTAGTGCAAAACGAACACCTTCAAGTTGAAAAGGAAAAAGAGCATCCAGCAATGATTTTGGAAGCTCTGCTATCAATTCATCAACTTTTTCATCAGGTAGATGTTCTGGCCTGCATGGTATCCATTTCCCCGCAATGAAAGAATGTGAAAGCCTCTGAACAACATTCAATGTTCCCCACGGTATCTCTTCACATTCAACACATTTAGAACTTTTTAAAGACCGTAAAACCAACTCATAATCCTGAAGTTTGTAAACGCAAGCCGTTCCCCCACCAGTATTTTGGGTGTAGTGTGAAGGCACAGCCTAAAAAGCAATACAAATATTTAAAAATAAAAAATAGAGGGGGGGGGGGGGGGGGGGGGGGGGGGGGTGAGAGTGATCAAACAGCTATATGAAGACACCACACTACAACAAATAATACCCTTCTGAAAAGGAAAAGACGAAAGAACCAATTTTGTTAATTGCTTTCAACCTTCAAGAGTGAATGTGATACAAAATACTTAGGTTTGCATTTGTAGCAGTAAATGGGACTCGGCAACCGAAACTCATACAGATTAGCCCCATTTCACAAAAAAATTACACTAAAAATTTAGTAAATAAACACTGTAGAGAGCGAAGTTATTCAAATAATGTCTTACACTTGAGATATAATCTGCAAGTTTCTCAAAGCAGACAACTTCTCCAGGATACGTAAAACCCTCTACCGGGACCGGTGTGATCGAGAAAGAATCCGGTGAACAAATTTCAAGCCGAGCCCGGAACTTCTCCGGTGGAAGGTCGGGCTTAGGAATGGCCCCGACAGTATTTACAATCAAGGGATGTTTGGATGCGGTAAAATTGGTGGGTTCGGGCAAAATTTTACGACACTTGAAGAGCTCCCAATTACGATTATTGGATTCAGATAGGATGGCCTTGCGCTTGGCCAATGCGGAGAGCCGGTTTGCCTCCGCTCGTTTTCTTTGTTCCTCTGTGATTTGCTCTTCATCTTGCACTGTTCGTTCCATTTGTGGGGTGGGTTGAAAGTTGAAACAGGAGTGATTTGAAATGGACGTCGAGAGGGAGGGGAAGAAGGGGGAAATTGATTAGAAGTCGCACGTGCCGTGCACGTGATTGGGTTATTGAGCTCCCTAGGCCCAGTAACATTATTTGGAGGAAGACTGTTTACTTTGGGCTCACTCATGGAAAGGGTGGTCAAGGTGGGAACATACGAAATGAATAATCTTTGTATGTATGAACCACGATGTTTCCAAACTTCCACTGAAACTAGTTGGGTGAACTTGCAACGCACGTTAGTTGAATAATTTGAAAGAAAATCATTTATAAATCTTAAAGATATTCATAAATTGATTGGAATTGACTTACTTTTCAACTCTTTTCTTTCATATATCATGTTAATGGATTATTCGATCTGTTTAAAGTTATAAAAAACCAATCCAAGGAAAAGAGGATGCAATATGATAGACCAAAACACAGCACATAAAAATAATTTATAAATAAAGCACTAAAATCAGATCCTGTAAAGCAGCATATGATAAAAGAAACAAAACAGGCGTATTCACTTGGGTATATCAGGATCTTCCATCTCATCTCCACCATTGTTACCACTTTTATCTCCTTGATACTTCACTACTTGAAGTTTATCATTATGCTTTTTCGTCCATTCCTCCATTCTTTCCTTCCAGACAACGATAACATACCCATACACAGCTAAATCTTTCTTAGGAACCATCAGGCGTGGTGGAACTACCGCATCAGTAGTTAAATTAACCTTCTATTCAATCCTAACAAATTAATTAGGGAACTGCTTTAATAAATCTCAAAGAAATTACCAATCATGAAGGAATCAGAAAATGGCATAGGATGGATTCGCTTTCCCCAACCCATGAATGGTGGAATAATGAGAGCATGCTTGTCAGCTGAAATCGTTTCATCAAAATGCAAATTTTCATCAAAAAAATTTAACACGTAAAATAATGTTAACCTTGAATAAATATCATTGATGAGTCCTCCATCAAATTTTCAACTCATGAAATAACAATAATGTGTTCAAAACAAAATAAAAAATAGTTAAGCCTCAATCTATCTCTTGACCATAAGTAAGGATAGGAATTTTAGAGCTAATGACTATCGTTCTCTCATTGACATTGTAATCAAAGCATTGTAAGCCCGATCTCTCATTGCCATTGTAATCAAAGCATTATAATCACAAGTAAAAAATCATATGATCCAAATTCTCACCTTAATAAAAAAAAACTCCCGAAAGATTTTATTTCTATCAATTAATTACAATACTTTATATAGCGAAAACCCTAGGAAAATTCGAACAAATTAAAAAATAATAAAATGTATTATTTAAAAAAAAAAGATAATGACTAAAATTGATAATCCTAATCTTAATGATTATCCTCCAACAAACGGAATTCAAATCTAACTTAAATGGATCAAAATATAACCAAAACAAAATTTACCAAAAAAGGAAACAACGCATAAATGAATGCCTAAACGAAGGAATTAGCCCGATCCTAAATTTTCTCCAAAAACCAGGAAGTTGAGAAGCAAGGCATAGAGAAGAAGAAATGAGAGCTACAAGTTTTAAAGTTAAAGTGTAGAGGAAGTTTCAGTAGGGTGGGAGGAATTTTGGAGATGTGCAAAGACCAGATGTCTCCACACTGCGCGGAGCTACCGCGTCTCTGCTGAGCGGGGAGCAGTCTTTCTCCGCACAGCGCTCTAGCGTAGTTATTCTCCTGTAGGCTATAACGCTAACACTGCAACTACTCGAATATGTAATTTTAATGAATTATTGGAAAGGTTTCTTTTGAATTTCTTTTTAAAGAAACGCGATTAAATGCAAAATTCATTAAAAAAAAAAATCATACATCTTGAGTAATCAAAATTTGCTTAACCGTTTGGCTTCCATTTGAGCATTCGTGCTCTGTAATGTTTTACATCTACGACGTCCAAAATTTTGTCCAAATGCTTAGTATATCCAACACTATAACATAATTGAAATATCATTTTGTTGAATGAAAAATTAAGAAAGAAAGAAAAACAGAAATAGATAATTTCTGCACAAACAAATTCACCATAATCATTCAAACTTGCAATTCATTTAATCCGCACTGCAATCTATGCGCAGCGCGGAGTCTCGCGAAAAAATATCTACCGACCAATGCAATCCGTGTTCAAACCCGACTAAATTAAATTTTTCAGATTCGATTGATTCTATCTGAATAGATAGAAAGAAAGAAAGTGCGTAACTTACATAAGAGTAACTGATGAACCCAAAACAATATTATGTGCAATTAAGCCCTCTTCTGCAAATTAGAATTCAAACAGATTTCAATTATTTGGATTTTTGGAAAGAAGGGAAAAAGATGAAGAAGAAGAGTAGTGCAAGAGTGGTAGGTTGAGTGGAAGAATTGACAAAGGGCAAATGGGTACTCCCCCACGCTTCCTTCCAATGGGCTTTTCAGCTAATGAAATGAGAGCAAAAAACTAAATAAATAAACAAATAAATAGCAAAGAACGATACACATTTGTAACACATGTCCTAGCACTTCTTTTGCTCTTTTATATATGTTAGGATTAGGATATAATGAGCATAGAGCCTAAAAATCATGCTTATGTTTAACATTCATTACAATGAGTTTTTCAGAAAAATGAGTTTTGGAATACTGATGTTTTAGAGAATGTATAATTAAAAAGTAGGGAAAATATTGAGTTTACGTGCAAAAATATTTTATTGTGTGAATATATTGTCAAAAAGAGAGAAAAAATTGAGTTAATGGATCAAACCGTTTGAACACCATTGCCTACAAAATATATTTTTCTCTTTCTTATTTTTAAACATACATTTTTCAATAAAATAATTTTTCGGGTAAACCAATAACTTTTCAAAATCTTTTAATCGCACATTCTCCCAAAAATCATAATTTAAAAATACATTTTCTCCCAACATCACATTAAAATGGATCCCAAATATGAGAATAATTATTAGTCGTAAGAAGCATGTTCTGTTAGATAACACTTGTTTTTGAGGCATTTGTTTCGCAACAATTAGCCTATGTTTGATCTACATTATTTATTTATTTTTCGAATTCATTTTTAATTGCACGTTCTCCCGATAAAACCTATAACTAATGGCCATTATTTTGAACAATAATGATGTTGTGAATAATTAGTTTTTCAAAAATGTGTGATTAAACAATAAGAAAAAAATTGAGTTTACGTATAAAATATTTTATAATGTAAAGGTGGCTGAAAATGAGTACGAGAGTTTAAAGAGTTTTATTTTAAATGGAGAGAAACATGGGCAAAATTATTTTATACATAAACCTAAAACTTCGCCCTACATTTTAATCATACATTCTCCAACAAATCACTATTATAAAATCGATTTTGCCAAAAAATGAGGCTAAAATGAACCCCTATTATTCTCATGATTCGTAGTGTTGGTATCATGAAAATGATCGGTGTATTTTTCAGTGATGAAAAAAAAAAGCCTAACTAGGGGCAAACTTTTGTTCTGAAAAATGCAACGAGTTAGAAATAATTTGTTATCATTTTAGCATTTGTTTAATAAGTGGTTTAAAAGTGGAATAGTAATAAAAATAATAGTGAGTTTCACAATATGTGTGAATAATGATGAATGGTAATTATGAATTTGTAGTTAAATTTAATATTTGACTTCAAACTATAAAGACATTATAATGAAACTCAAACAAGTGCGAAACTATAACAAATGAATTCTGTTTGTATAACAATTTATAAATAGTTCATAAACTGTGTTAAAGTAAAATATAAATTTAAATCACACTTCCATATATTGTTGGACATGATCCGGTTCGATTCAATTCTAAAGATAATCAAATCAAACTTGAAATTTCGGGTATTTAGTAAGAAAAACCATCGTGACAAATTTAATTATGAAATTGAACGAGTTCGGTTTGGTTCCTGGGCTCCATACAATAATTATATTTGTGTAATATTTACAAACAATGCTACATTAGTTCAACTAATGATTATGTTCAATTTTAGCTTTTAAAAAAATAACGTAGTCCAATTTTATGTATCTTTTGCGTCTCTTTTATTGGGTTCTTAATAGACTTTATTGTTAAAATTACAAGAAGATAAAGATAGGAGCTTACAATAATGAAGAGATGTGTAGCCGAGTTTTTAATTTGAATTTTCCAAAACTATAGTTAACCAAACATAATTTTTCTATTTCTAATTCTCAACTCAAGCCTAACTTAATCAAATTGACATAAATTTTGCTCAAATCAATTATTTTACCGTAGTGCTATTTTCTATATTTATTTATCTTAAATAAGTTAAATTTATTTTATTTTTTAAAAATAAATTTGCTAACTAATTAATTTAGCATAAACCTCAAATATAATTTTCTCATTTCTAATTTATAGCCGAAGCCCAACTTAGTTAAATTGATCTAAGTTTTACTCAAATTTATTATTCTATCATAGTACTGTTTCTATAGTTTTGGAGAATACGAATTGAACGCTTGGCTATGGATCTCTTCATTATTATGAACTCGCTATTTTCATCTTTTTGTGATTTTAACAATCGAATATATGAAGAAATCAACAAAGAGATGCGCAAAAGATATATAGGATTGGACTACGTTATTTTTCAAAAGCTAATATTGAACATATCATTAGTTAAATTAATGTAACGTTATTGTAAATATTACACAAATATAATTATTGTATGGAGCCCAGGAACCAAACCGAACTCGTTCAATTTCATAATTAAATTTGTCACGATGGTTTTTCTTACTAAATACCCGAAATTTCAAGTTTGATTTGATTATCTTTAGAATTGAATCGAACCAGATCATGTCCAACAATATATGGAAGTGTGATTTAAATTTATATTTTACTTTAATAAAGTTTATAAAATAAATGGAGAAAATTTATTGGTGAGTTTTTTTTTTTTTTTTTGCAAAATTATTTCTCTCTAAATTCATTTTCACAATTACACAATCACATTCCATACTTTTCTAATCACAAATTCTTTTACTTTTTAATCACAAATTCTTTAAAAAATTATTCTTCGTTTGAAAAAATCTCTCTCAAGCAAACTCATATATTTTCATCCAATGTAAAGAATATTATGGCCAACAGCCACTTTGTGTGATATAGTAGAGAAAAAATAAAGAAATGCACAAGTTAAAGACATATTTTTGAGTTCTCTTCTTTGAAAAAATACCGTCACCAGGTGCAATAGTTCTCACATTGAAATTGAATCACCTTAAATCGTATGTTATTTTATGTTAGTTCATGTTGTGCGTCCCAACAAACTCCTTTTCCTATGCACAGAAAGAAGTGGAATCCAATTGTATTATTTAAGTGCTTATTTCTTACCAAAAATCCTACTTCTACAATTTGTAGGTCACCGGATTATTCAAATAAGTCAGGTTTTCCGTGGTTTTCCCTCATTAACCCTCCTCCTTTTGACCATCCTAGATGAGAAGAAAGAGACCGACTTCATCGACTTCCTGTTATCAAATGCAAATTGTTCTTCTATACTCTTTGACATATTTCCCGGCATGCACTCAAAGGAATTAGGAATATTAGAACAAGGAATCAGAATGTGCAGTTCACAAGCATCTAATGAAAGTTCATTCTTTCTTCTGGTTACACCTTTTTTGTTGGCAAGGAATCGACAGTTCTTTCATTCACATTAACACACAATTTTTATTTGTAAAGTCCCCCTTTTACTGTTCATAAGAAGCCCAGAATTTCTCCTTTTCATGGCTTCCATCACCATAATATTCTCCGTGATATTTTCCCGAGATTATAAATAAAAGAGTCGATTAAAAGGTTGTTGATCATGAGGCCAACGAACCCTCATTATTACTTGGACGATGGCGAATTTGCAACTGCAATTGCTGCTTCTGCTCATGCCATACATTCCCTTGAAGAAGCCAGCACCAAACAGTACCTCAGAAATATAAATAACAGAAAAGAAGAGCTCTTTAGGCCACCTCAACCAGGTACGTCTCTTCGACTCATTTTCTCGTGATAAGGGCATTTTCGTTATGTTGGATTGGACAATAATATCAATATGTTAAGAGGGTTCCACATATATATTGAAGATATTTGATATACTTTGAAGGTTCCATATGGAGTTCATCTCGACAAGATACTAGGACTACATCCTTCAGGCGACCTCCTCCTCCCGTTGTAGAAAACCAAAGACAAAGGGGAACTTCAAGGGGGCGTCGAAATGTAGAGACTAAAGAAGATGTTTGGGAAAGATCTCAATTGGAAAAGATTCACAAAAGGTACAATCTTATCAGGGGCGAAACAGACTAGACTAAAATTCTTTTATGCTGGGCGCCTGGGCCCATATGTAAAAAATAAAATTTTTCACATAAATTTTTTTTCCCCTATGAAGTTATCTTTTTTACAAGTAAAACCTGGCTGCTGCAACCGTCACACTATGAAATACTATCAAGCAGTGTATACCAAATATGACGGTTATTCTTACAAATTAATTGTAAGTTTCAGATACCAGAAGATGCGATCGAACATCCTTGCTTGGGAGAACGAGAAGAAACTGAGAGCGAGGCAGCAAATGGAAAGAAACAAGGTTAATTGATTTTCACTTTTTTTTCTTCCACTACATATGGATATTGGACAAATTATTTGCTTATAAGTAAAAATTCATTGAAAATGCATGCAGAATGAACTGGAACTGAGAAAGTCAAGAAACTCGAAACATTACCAAAACAAGCTAGCAAGGATTGATCATATTTCTACTGGAGCAAAAGCACAATTGGAGGAGAAAAGAAAATATGAAGATTCAATAGTGAAAGAAAAAGCAAGAAAAATGAAATCAACTGGAAAGGCTCCTATCAGCTGGTGCTGTTTCTAATGCCAATGAGAGGCCTCATTATATTGTGTAAAAATAAAATAAAATAAAATCATAATTTAATTATATCATGTAGAGATGTACTTATTTGAAGACCCCTTTTTCTCCCCTGTGATAAACTAGGGGTGATCGAAGTTTAGTTTGGGAGGTTTGCTTCATATTTTCAACTCAAATCACTTCATGCGATTTATAATTTTTTCAAACCAACCAAACCATTTTATTTTTCGAATTATACCAAACCGAATCGCAGTTTGGTTCGATTTTAATCTCGATTTACCTAATATATTTAAAACAAATTAAGATACAAATTTAAACGAGAGTTAATAATGTTAAATTACATCCATATTTCTCATGAAATTCGTGAATAAATTATTTTCAAAATTGGTTGCTAAAAGATGTTAATAGAACGAATACATCTTTCTTTTCTTATCTACATTTTCTTGTTTGCCTTTCATATTGTTACATAGCGGTTTGTAAAGATAAAGTCACATTCTACTATTATAATTTGGTTAAAACTCCTTTCGTCTAGCCAGTTAAATGAAAAATAAAGACTGAACATGATATATTTGATATACAAAGAATGATAGAGTTCAGACTTATTGGGAATTAACGAATTTTATTCCCTAATTACTTTTAAAAAGTGGAAGGTAAACAAACTAATTAGAGAACTTTAACATTTTCACAGAATCAATACGCCATGTCATTCGTTCTTTTCAAACCACGAACAAGTTCATTAATGATCTAGGCACACAAACAATTATTTTTCTATTTAAATCACAATTCAGAAGTGTATAATAAGTTCAAAAACAACAAACAAAAGAAAGAACAATGGAAAAATAGTTTGAATGAAAATATGAGATATACCAAAAGAGAAGAGAGATGGAGGCGATTCAAGTAGAAATCAGTAGACTAACAGGTAAAAGGTGACTGGGGATTTACAATTGGGAAACACATTTCATTCAACAGAGGCAGGCAAGTGTCAAATGTTTGAGAAATGAGAGTTCATGTTAGGACTTCTAAAATTTTGGGCTTGATATGCTGCCACAATTTTGTTAAATTATGATTTGAAATGTCGAAGATATATGTGTTTCTCATTTTATATGATTTGGGAATGATTTTAGTTTAATTTAGATATCGGGTCAGGACGTGTGTTTTAGACATGTAAAACCATGGCTAATAATGAGGAACCTAATTTACTTTACATGATTATTTCAATGAGATGGTTGTAATTTGTATTGCTAAATTGGTATTTTTCTTCTTCTTCTTCTTCTTCTTCTTTTTTTTTTTTTTTTTTTTTTTTTTTTGGGAAGAAAAAAAAAAAAAAAAAAATATTTGTTTGACCTGCCGATGTGGGTAGGTGGGTAACATAATTTTTGCCCACCGTGAACAGGGAATAAATTTTAGCATAATGAAATGACATGCTGCAAAATTCCAATGCCGTTACTTTGAATTCTTGTCAAAAAATGCATTTTGAATAGTGTATTGATGGTAAATATACGGTTAAAAAATAAAGAAAAGATATGAATTTATATATAATATTATTTTATTGAAAAATGTGTTATTGAAGTAGGATCATATCACTATCGAATAATGTATTTTGATGAAAAATGATGCTCAAACAAGGGCTCAATATTTAAATTAAAAGAGAGAAAAAATAAAATAAAAGACATCTGCATCTCTTCACTCAATACCCACTCCAAAACTAGAGATTATAAAATTGCCCACCCAACCACCATTACCACCCAACCCAATTGTCGTAGCCATCACTATCTTCTATTATTCCTTCGTGATTTTCTTTAAGATGCCTATAAAAACAGTGCTAGATCCTCCCCTTCCCCCTTTTGCCAATGGAATTAGAATCACAGAAATTGTGAATTTGATAAAAATGGTTGTCTTGAAAGCATTTTGCTTGTGGATTGTTATACGAGAATATATTTCAATTTAAAATCACCGTAAGTGTACGGTTGGTTAACAAGCCTCCGTTTGGCCCCATTTTCTAGAAATGAAAAAAGGTGGCATTGTGTTTTTTTGAAAAATGAGTGGTTGAAATAGAAGAAAAAGTTTTCGATTTAAGTGTAATATTATTTTATAAAAGATTGTGTAGTTGAAAATAGAAGGGAGAAAAATGAATGAAATGAAATTTAATGGGGACCAAGTAATAAAGTGAACGTCAGTCCAAATATCATCCCATTGAGATTGATTTAGTTCAATTTTTAATACTGTGACCTTAAAAGAAACAAGAATAACACGATATTTTGTTGTAATAAAATTATAAATAAAATAAATTACGTATGCAATTATGAATAAATTAACTAAACTAAATGTAAACTATGCTTAATGCAAACTGATGTATGTAATGAATGACAAACGTACTAGGATCACGAATTTTCATGCAATAATTCTTTTTAACATTAGTTTTACACTTTGACAATACAATTAAATTTTGAGGAATCAACATTCCTATTTTACAATCTCTCTCGATTAATGTTCAACATATTCTCATAAATGACCTGACTATATCTCTATGATGAATGTGAACATAAAATAATGCATGAATTTTTACGGAACACTTAAAGATTCACATAAGACATAGCAGCCTATCTCTATCCCTTATCTGACCCTATAATTATTTATGTCATATTGAACATATTTTTCTTTTTTCGAATGCATAAAATAGGCTACTACATTCACACAATTGCTGTGCATAATAATCATGGAGAAAAAAATTTCATATAAACCATTCAATATCTAAAACGGGTTTTTAATATCAAACATGTAAAACTCAAGATTAAAAATTCATATTACACGGTTCATTGTGCTCTAACATAAATAAATCTAGCCTAACATGTTGGAAAGAAGAAAACAACAAGAATATTGAAGAAACGACATCACCAATTTAAATTTTGGAATGAATCTTCGTGTCTTAGGGTAGATCTTCATTTCTTTTGCCCCCTTCTACGCTCCATAACCTATATGGATTGTTGGAATGCGTAATAAACACTTAGGGATGGCCCTAGAGCTTTAAAAGGCGCCACAAGATTTGTTTCCATAAGGGCATACAATCGTATAGGAACTAACACTATGCAACCACATAGTGTTGCTGAACTTTCAACATTTGCATTTTAGTCTTCGAACTCCGTTTTCTTTTTTTGACATCTTTTCTCATTTCTTCTTCTTCCAATACTTCATGTCTTCACTAAAATGTTCCTTGACTCTTTCACATCTTCGTGTTTGCTTTTGGGTCATCTTTCGACTATTTGCAATTTGATCTCTGAACTTTTATTTTCTTCTATTTTGGTCATTTTTGCTTGTTCTCCTTATTTCCGCCACACTTATCAATGTTGTCCTACATAACATAATTTACATGGAATTAAGCCATTTTGTCATATTTATAAACAATTATTCATGTTTTATTACCAAAATAAGTATGTAAAAGGCACTTATCAAATTTTCTAAGCTTAAACTAATGTTTGTCCTCAAACGAAATTGTAGCCTTAACTCCATGCAAAACAAGGTTATACAAAATTGTGGCCTTAACACAATGAATGGCTTTAGTAGTGCGAAATCAAATCAACTGCCACCTATTATATGCATAACTCGACATATGTGTGTTTAAACTCATGTAAACATATCAAGCTCATGATTAGTTCAACTACCGACCTATAGTGGTCAAGTATTTCCCTTCTTTGCTTGAGAGATACACACCCCAAACTTATTCTTTTCACTCAATTTTTTCAAGGTATGTTCTATGGTTGAAGTATAGTTTAGTCTAATCATTACCCTCTCTTAGTTTGAATAGATCTTACCATTACAAATTCATGCTTCAACAACTAGAGATTCTCCTATTTTTGATTACTTCAACATTTTAGACTACACTAAGTTACTTGTCTCGCATTAAAAGTATAGTTCTATCAAGCCAAAGGTCTTGGTATTTAATCAATGTAATTGTGTCTTTCTTTAGGTACTCTCTCTCTCTCTCTCTCTCCCCTTTCTTTTTTATTATTATTATTATCCACTCATTTGCTTTCTATGTAATCCACGTATCGAGTTTTAGGTTGATGACTCCCAAGTTAATTGACTTTAGAGCAACAAGTTCTCAAATACCATTACAAGTTTATTCACTCGAGTTATAAAGGCTCGAAAAGATATTTTTTATTAACTTGTCCATTTCTTGCTTTCTATATAACTCTTGTAGCAAGCGTTAGGTTGATGACTCCCAAATCAGTTGATTTTAGGGTATTAGGTTTTCAAATTCTCTTACAGGCTTACTTGCTTGAATTATAAAGGCTTTAAGAGAAGTGCTATTCAGACACAAATTAATGCTATGCCCTTTTTTATATTTAGCTTCCAAAACCAACCTCTAATTTAAGACTTTCACTTTATCTTCCTCTCATTAGTTTTAAGCAATCCACACAATATAATTTCATACACGGAACCTTCTGCTCATCTCAATATTCACCCGTTACAGCTTACCATCTCCAAGTTACTCTAAAAATGGACTATAGATCAGTACAATAGAGGTTCTTCGAGTTTAACTTACTTTATTCAACTTTTCTCTAAATAATGAACCAAATTGCCAACTTTAACGTGTAAAATATTAGCGTCGTGCATAGAGAATGTCAAGTTTCACATAAACAAGTGTTAGCTAATCTAATCATGCACTACTTCTACTATTCCTAGTTCATACATATTTCAATATTCGGCATCATTGTCGGCAAAGTTACCAAACCCATACAAGCACGCAAACAAATAAATAACTACTGGAGAATAAATACAAACTACACACAGTCAAAATTTTCATACGAATCAGTCACACAAAAAGCAGTAAATTCTACACAAACATCAATGAATGTCAAAAGTGTCATGAAAATGCTGCCACCCCTAAACTTACACAAGACATTGTTCTCGATGTAAAAGCAAAAATAATCAAAATAGAGTAGTAAGGATCGGAAACTCTCAAATAGATGCGAATGGGCAGAAGGATCAGGCTGGTCCAGTTGGTAGATGTCATGACAACTACCACTTTTCTCTATTGCTAGGCTTCAATTTTTTGTTTCAAGAACGCAAAGTGAGTATTAATGACAACAAATATGGTTTAAATATTTGTAATGTAATCACAATAAGAAGAATTCTAATCTTC